AGTTAAATATATACACCAAATGTAATACAATCTCTTGTACCCGTCTTGCATATATATAAGCACGTACGAGTCCCTACTACTGGATACATCAAACTCTTTACCCAATTTCACAAGGTGAAAATACCGACACTTCCATACTGCATACGACATATCACGAAAACAACGATAAGCTAACCACACTACCATCTAATTCCAACACAAGAATCACACCTCCGGTAACAAATTCGAGATATGGACAAATAATATGCACACACAAATACATAAGTACAAAGATGAAAAGACCAAAGAACATCGTACTTACAAAGATACCCACATGCAACACACTACTCGGGCGAACATATTAGTGAGAATCACACATCGCTCTTGATGGCCGAGCTGTAGCCCGTGCGATCGTCATAGAACTTGGACCATAGCATGACACCACCGTACTTTGGAGAGCCCTTGATGAGCGGCAGCACACGTGAGGTGAGCTCTCCGGCAGGGACGAACCCCGTGCCTGCCGCGTCCTTGGAGGCCGGCAGCCCCAGGAAGATCTTCCCGGCCGGCACCGACTCCCACTTCTTCCACGCGTCCATGAATGCCCCGCGTCCCGCACTGAACTGGCATTCCTCATTGTTGTAGAACTGCACCCACACAAAGTCAAACAATCCCGTGCTGATCGCACCGCCGTCCCATTCATCTGGGAACGGGCATTGCGGTGCCACGCTCAGCAACACGGTCTTGCCTCCGTTCTTTCCTAAGTTCTTCAGGTCCGCGGCCAGATCGTTCCAGAACTTGGCGCTGCCTTGCTCGATGTCAAAGTCAATGCCGTCGAGCACGACGTCACCGAGGGGACCGGACGAGGACGTGCCGCCAAGGTAGTTGTTCCAGAGATACCTGGCAACCTGCTGTGCGTCGCCGGGGGACGAGAGGCCGTAACTACCGTCGCCGCCGCCGATAGAGAGCAGGACTTTCACGCCGCGGCTCTGGCACTCTTTGATGTCCTTGCTCTGGCCTCTGCAACCACCGGAGGAAGGGTCGCAGTGGCTGGCAAGGTTCAGCTGCGGCGTCTGGCCCTTGCCGAATTTTGGGAGAAAAGCGAGGATGACGAACTCGTAGTTCCCGGACGCGCACGTCTCAGCCAGCGACGCCTCGCCGTCGTTCTGGCCCCAGTACACGGCGATGCTGCCCGCGTGGCAGGTGGCAAGGAGTGCCACGAAGAGGGTGGCAGTGAGCTGGAAAGGGGTGAGAGAACGGCTCGCCATTGTTGGGATCAATCGGCGTGTGCCTGTGCAAGTAGCCATACAGGACGGATGAGACTAGTGAGGACTTGTGAGATGTGCTCTGTGTTTTGCGTTGTGATGGCTATTGCGTATGTTGATTTTATAGTGTCTTGACGGAGCGTCATGGACGCTTTTTTAGTGGCTTTCGTGCCGTCTCACGTCCGCTTCTGCATCTGAATTTAATTAACTACATATGGTAGTAGAGTGGTTACGGTTAAGTAAAGCTGAGGGTAGAAAAATTCCGTTTCCGGTGGGTTGTTTCCTTGCTTAATTTACTCGGACAGATTAGTGAAACGGACTGTGTTCAAATCGCAAATGCTGCACCGTACTCGACGAAACTCTGTTTCCTGTCCCGGCAGAGTGCTGGACAAAACGTATACGCAGCTTGGCAGCTTGTATTTGTGTCGAAAACTCACTTTGGTCATTTTTACTCAAGAATAGGACCAATATATGTTGAGATGTATATGTTGCATGTGTATTTCTTGTACAACAAGCCTTCCTACTTCCCTGTATAGTTGAGGACGTGACTCCCCTTGTACACACACACACACACACATAGACACGTGCATATGCATCCTATCAATATATCGTGAATTGCACCAATCCTCTATATGGTATCAGCCTAACTCGGTCCTTCTCCCGCGCTCCTCCCGCCGCTGACCTAGCTGCCTCCGCGCCCTTCCCTGGTGCGCCGCTGCCCTAGTCGCCGCCGCACATCACGCCCACCCTCCTGCCGCGCTGCTTCTGCTTCCCAGCTGCGCCTCCCAGCCGCGCGTTGCTTCTCCCAGCCGCGTGTTGCCTCCTCCCCTGTAGAACCCAGCCGCGCCGCTCCTCCCCTACAAACCCTAACCCGCCTCATCCCGAGCCCCTCTCCACCGCTGCCATTTCTCTCTCCAGCCGCTCCCACCGCAGCAACCCGTTCGCCTCCTCCTCCGATGCCGGTTCTCTCCCCGACCCGGCCTACATCCGCGACGTCCCGATCAAGCTTTCCCACACGGAGGCCAACTTCTATGCCTGGAAAACCTATTGTAACCTCCTCTTCCGTGAGTACAACCTCCGTGATCACATCGACGGCACCACCGACTTCCTCGCCATGCGTCGCGATGAGGATTGGATGACGGTTGACGCCACCATCATCCGGTGGCTCTTCCTCACCGTGTCCAAGGACATCTTTCACACTGTTGTTCGCGACGGTGATGATGCCTACACGGTGTGGACGAAGATCATCGGTCTCTTCACCGACAACAAGCTCCAACGGATCGTCTTCTTGCAGCAGGAGTTTTTTGGTTGTCACCAAAACGACTCCTCCATTGACGCCTACTGCATTCGCCTCAAGACCCACTCCGACGAGCTCAACGACGTCGGCTTCAAGGTTGGGGACGAGCTCCTCCTCTCCATCCTCACAGCCGGCCTCAACGAAGATCTCGGAAATGCCGCATCCACTCTTACTCTTATGGCTAACCCTACTTATGAATGGGCGGTGGCCTATCTTCGCCTTGAGGAGCGTCGCCTGAAGAATCTGCGGGCTCGTGCGGTTCATACCACCTTCGCCGCTGGCTATTCCCATGGCGGGTCTTCATCAGCACATCCCACCGGGGGCCACGGCACCCCGCAGCCTCCAGCACCCGCTGGTGCGGGTGGGTACGGCGCTCCCTACGGTGCCTTCCCGCCTCGGCCTCCAGCGCCGTCCCACCGCCTCCACAGCAGCAGCAAAACCAGGGCGACATGCACGGTCGTGGTGGCCGCCGTGGCCGTGGCTACCGCTCCAACAACGGCGGCGGTCAACAGCGCGGTGGTGGTCAGCAACAACAGCTCCCCTCGCCGCCTTGGGGTACCGGCCACAATCCCTGGACCGGGGTTGTACATGCTTACACGATGCCGGTTCCCCGCGCTCCACTCCCGGGTCTCCTCGGGCCTCGGCCGGCGATGCACCAGGCCTTCACTGCCCCCAGCTCAGCGCTCCTACACCGCCGCCTGCCCCTACCCCGTGCCATTCGGCTATGCCGCGCCGAACCCTAGTGGGGGGTGACGGGGTATACTAGCTACCCCACGCCGCCGGTCTCCTACGACCCGGCTCTGCTCTCGATGCTGCAGTACATGCCTCAGCCCGGTTCCTACACCGGCGGTGGTGACTGGTTCATGGATGTCGGTGTCAAAAGTGGTGGATCTCGGTTAGGGGGTTCCGAACTGCGCGTCTAAGGTAATGGTAACAGGAGGTGGGGGACACAATGTTTACCCAGGTTCGGGCCCTCTCTATGGAGGAATTGCCCTACTTCCTGCTTGATTGATCTTGATGATATGAGTATTACAAGAGTTGATCTACCACGAGATCGTAGAGGCTAAACCCTAGAAGCTAGCCTATGATTATGATTGTTCTTGTCCTACGGACTAAACCCTCCGATTTATATAGACACCGGAGGGGGTTAGGGTTACACAGAGTCGGTTATAGAGAAGGAAATCTACATATCCGAATTGCCAAGCTTGCCTTCCATGCGAAGGAGAGTCCCACCCGGACACGGGATGAAGTCTTCAAT